GCTTTAACCCTATCTTCAAAGTAAGCAGATTGGTTATTTTGTTTTTCAAAGAAGAGGGTCCTATATACAATTAAAACTTGTTTCTGGTAAACCTCATTCCAGGAAGGATGAGCTTTTAACAAAAGGCCTTTGACAGCTGCAGGCTATTTCATTTTTTTTAATGCCGAATGAAAAATCAATACATTTTTCTGGGTTATACATATTCAGAACAGGCCTGATATTTCCATTAGAATGGAAAGTGGGTGTCTGTGCACATCTCGCCTGTCAGAGCTGCACCACCGCATTTTCCAAGCCACTGCTAAATATTTCAAACCTGATTTGATTGTGGTTCATGACAGCTAATGTTTCTCAGCTCTTGAGCCTGCCGACAGGCAAACGCGCTCCCCCCAACCCCGCTCCCCCCAAAGAAAAAGGAAAGAACAATTTCATTCTTCGGGGATCACAGATTGGTGCATTATTTAAGTAACATGTTCGTGTGAGAGCGTTGGGTACCGACACCCTGATTCTTAGGAGAATTTCCAAATTTCTATCACATCTAGGCACCGTGGGGGCTTTGTCAGGTTTGAATTAATCTACATTATCCTGTTAAGAGTGAGGAACAGAGGGACTAGTCTTAATCATTGATTGACTCCCCTTTCTTTCAAGCCTGTAAGCGATTTGTAAAGTACCCTCAATGGACACGTCACTCGGCCCCCGTCGGGGAGCAGTACCTTTTTTTTTAACAACTAGAACATTTTCATGAGTGACAATTTGGGGAGCATATGTTGTGGGTGGAATGCTGACTTCGTGATGATCCCACTTCTATTTTTGGCTCCTGCCTTGCGCTCCTTCCACAAACCAATTTCCAGGTTGTTCATAAAATGGTTACAAATCCCCACAGGGTTGCCAGTTGGCGCATGCACCTCCTTTGGGAGCAGACTTCACCACAAATGGGGGAGTCATACTGTCACCTTTACCAAGATGCTAACTATGAGGTGTGTGAAGAGAACAGTTTGCATTTGTGGTGAGCAAAACCACCTCGATTGAAGGGGGATTTTCTGGGACGATGGTCTCATCCTCCTGAAAAGTGAAACCGCCTTGGGAATCTCCCCCTTCTAGAATATACTCATCTGTTGGGATGCTTCCACCGGGGCTCTGCCTTTACCATGAGTGACAGGAGCAGGCCAGGTTTGGACTAGCTCTAGGAAGTGCTGCCTGGGAGTTGTAAGGAGGAGGCTGGGAGGGAAATAGATTTTTAGAGGCCTCAGTCACGGTTCTACATGGAAGTGAAGGCAGAAGGGACCTGGAGGCCTCTCTGTTTTTCAATATTTGCTTCCATTTCCTTTTCACATGAAAATATGTACAGTGGGGAGTGGGTGCCCTCACTTGGGGGCTACATGGGGCACAGGCATCCCAGTGGGCCTCTGCAGTGTCTTAGAGGCACCTTTTCTGGTGCCTAAAAGAGACCTGACCAGGACATGGGGTGCTCTGGGCCTACTGCCTCCTGCCAAGAACCAGGTGACACTGAGGAGTAGTTACCCAGGTCCTGGCCACACCCTTGAGAAAGCATTCCTGAGCTGCTCTGATTGGGGTCTGAAATACTATGAAATGCTTCCATCTTCCAGGGAAGATGGTTTTGGTGTGTCTGTTTCAACCTTGAAAATGGTCCCGTGGCTATTGTGTGTGCTGAGTGAGAGCCTCAGTCCAAGTCCTCACTTGTTCCCACCATCTGCCTGAACCTGATATTTCAGGGGTGGAAATGTGCAGCTTCTGTAGTGACCCCAACCAGTGGTCACTGACTTCACGTGGGGAAAATGCAATCAATGGCCTGTGGGAAAAAAACTTCCCCTCCATTCTGGGTTCTGCCAGCACGTGTGTATCCAACAGATCCCTAAAAGGAACAAGGGCTAGATAGCAGCCCTGGGAGGTGGCCTATAAATGCAGCTCTCTGCAGAGTGGTTGCCCATCCGCCCTGGCTCCCACGTTTCCAGGGACAGAACTCCATGCCTTTCCTTTGGGTGCCTGAGACCTGACTCTTGGTGAGGGGCCTGGCTTTACACTTTTGGGGACCAGTGAAAACACACCCTGTCTGCAAAGCATTGTGGGCCTGAGCTGTCTGGACAAATTCGTAGTTTGTATCCCTGCTTTTTAATCTTTTCTCTACCTTTATTGGTATTCAGAGCTCACAGTTTTCCGGTTACCGTCAGCCTGGGCTTTCATCCATTTTAAAGAGCCTTTTTCCTTCTCGTTGTTGATGATGATGGTATAAAGACAGATGGTGTAACTGCTTATGAATGTCCTATTTTATTTCTCCAGGACCAGACAGTTCACTTGGAGACGTAGATTATTTCCACATGCGCAGGTTAGGCGGCCCAGACTTGCCTGCCTCCTGCAGCCAGCTGCCCTCCTGGCCTTGCCATGCGGAGGGCGACACCTGTAGGTGCCAGGTGGAACTGCATGAAAGCTCTGGCTTGGCTGAATGGGACCTGGTTTTTAGCTGGGTTGAGGGACACCGACTGATTCCCTGTAGAAGGAGCCTGCTTGTCCAGAAGTTTCTTAATCATTTTATCTTCCACCACACATGTAATAACAGTCTTTCAGTGAATGATTCACAAATGATAACAGTCAATCCAGGAACCTTAGAAGAAGAAAAGAGAGAGAGAGAGAGAGAGAAGCAAAATCAGCTCCTGAAATAACCTCTTTAGTTTTTTCCTCTCATTGGAACATGGCTGCCTTCATTTTCTGCTCACAGTGGGGCAGCAAGGGGAAACAGCACAGGCCCAGATGGGCCTGCCAAACACTGGCTCCAGGAGTGTTCGCCAAGTGCCATCCCGTCTCCTTGACCTTGCTTCAAAGATCTGTTCATTCTTTACAGTCTCTGTCTTTGGATAGATTCATCCTGGGGTCAGTGCCAGGTGACAGTGAGTTTTTAACTCTTCTCCAGCAACTGAAGGCCACATAATGTGCAGGAGCAAGGCACTGGCCTTGGAGATTGACTGCCCAATAGGTAAACTCCTTCCCTCCTCTGCTGAGAAGCGCCTTCAGACATTGTCACCACATCAGGGCGTTGTCAGTTTGCAGGTGTCAGACTTTCCAGCTAAGGTGATACTGTGTGTCTACTAGAGGGGTGAGACCACCGAGCCATCTCTTTGCCTAATCAAATTTGATCGATGTATCCGTACTACAGATTCTGTGTACCACAGCAGGTACTGGGACAAATGAGTATATTTTGAGACCTAACTAAATTTGGGTAGACCCAATTTAATGATATTGCTTAATTGAAGAGCCACTTAAAGATGCATTTTGTAATTATAGATTTGAATGGTTTTTGTCAAAAGCCTAAAAATGTGCATGAAACATCTTGCCCAGACATATTTGAGATGGTGCAGGTACCATGCCTGGTAACTTTCTTGCTGTTACTCTACTAACACCTACATGTTTTTTTCTACTGAATGATGTATGATGTTACATAGGACTGTATATATGATTAACTTCAAGCCACCATTGTATGATTTTTCTCTGAACTAAAGGTAAGGTAAAGAGGCTTGATTTTAACTTCACTATGAACGAGACAAAAACAGAGACATAGAAATCACATGTGGAACCCTGAATTGGAGTTGAAAATGAGCAGTGGCTTATTTCGTCTGTATTTGCCACAACTGCCCCACAAACCCCTGTTAGTAATGAAGGAAGAACATTCCCTGATCCCTTGTTCATATTCCCAGTCACTGGACCTCCATCATCTTTCTGGAAGAATTAGGAAATATGATTCTAAAATGATGCTTTCTTCTTTGATTGTTTTAGAAACCCTTTGAGGTCAATTGACTTTTATCTCTTTTACTTCACTTTGTGGGATAAAATTCAGAGGCAGTATTATGGAGGGTCAGAGGGTGTAACACCTATGTTATTTAAAAGTGGAGCTGGAATTGGAGAGCTCTATGGTGGAATCAGCCAGACTCTCATGTAGGGTTCCCTGTTCCTAATGGGTCTGGTCTGGTGCCAGCCTGGGTTGATAGAGAGGGCACCTCTGCTCTGTACCGGAGAGGTGTGCTCTTCAGAGTCTCCTGATAATCTCATCAATATGAAAATGGTTTTTCACCTTGGTTTGTCTGCTTTCTCCATTCACCTAGCCCATTCTTACTGAATACAGGATTTAGATGTTGATCCATGGGGCCAGGAGAACATAGAGAAGTGTCTCACTTTCTTTTCCTCAGCATCTAAAGAATCTATTCTTCTTCCCCACTTGGGATGATGGCATTTTACTTCATAATTAACCTAGTTTTGAAAATGGCTATTCTTCTACCTTTGCTATAACACTGTGATGAGTCAAAGAGGCATTTCTTGGATTAGCTTTAAGCCAGTAGTGCGGAAAGAGTGGAATGATTTCAAAAGGAGAGTGTGTGAGTTTGTTACAGACTTTTATCCCTTTGCCTCTCCTCACTGACCACGGCATACCCACAGATGCCATTAGGATTTCTAGAAACCAATCATTGATATTCTGTGACTCTTCAGAACCTGAACAACTGCAAAAAAAAAAAAAAAACTCCCATCACAGTCAGGCACTTCCATGCCCATGGCCCATGAAAGGCCCCGTGAGTTGGCCTGGTCTAGTCCAATACCAGGATGTTCTGGGGATGGAGGTAGGTAACGTGAACAGTTTTAAGTTTGGGGTTTTTTCCCATTTTCAAGTGTAGCCTACTTGCATATGACTTTAGGGCCTGAGCTGAGTTACTGCATCAACATGGTCAGTTTTTCAATTGAAAACTCTCAAGTGAGGCATCCAGAATCTCTGAAAATACCTAGAGGCCATGCCTGGAGCAAACACAGCCTCATACCAACTGCATCCTCAGGCCCCAGTAAATCCTTAGCAAGGCTGTCCTCTGAGGGGCCTTGGGAAGAGGGTAAGGACAGAATCATTGGCTTGGTGTTTTATAGTTGGCAGCTCCTTGGAATGGGGGCTGAGTCCTTCCTCTTCTTTCCGTGTTTGAATCCTTGACGGTTTTGTTTTTCTCTTTTTTCAGAAGAAGCCATTGAAGATGTTGAAGGACCCAGTGAAACGGCTGCTGATCCAGAGGAGCTTGCTAAAGACCAAGAGAGTGGAGGCGAGAAAGACCAGAACAAGTGGACAGGTAGCGCGTGCAGCTGCCCTTAAGCCTCTGGGATTCCGCTCCTGGAAGTACGGGGCTGTCGGGGAGTGGGTGCATCTTTAATCTGCCCGGGGAAACTGTGTTGGCTCTGGAAGAGAGGAGGGGGACTTCGTTTTGCTTTTTAGAGTGGTCACTTTCAATCCTCTTTAGTAAGTTATATTAAAGAATTTTAAAGTTTTTAAATGTCTGGGGGGATGCAGCAGAGGTTGTTGAGTGGCACTTGATCTGGTCACCTCCATTCTCAGCCTCCGGGTTCTCTGAGGGAGTCAGCAGTGAAGGCTGGCCTTTGCCTGGACACAGCCTACAGGCTCTTGGTGTCCCTCCCCAGCCCCACCCTCAGGGCCAGCACCCGCATGCTGGAGTCCCACCTCAGGGGAGACAGACAGTGCAGCCAGGCAGGACATCTGACCAAAAGCAGAAGAAACTGAAGAAGCCAAGACAGGAAGTGCTATTTCTGGAAAAACTGGTGCTGCGAGAGGAGGAAGAGCCACTTCTCAGGATGATAAGATTTCGGCATTGAGGGAAGAAAGAGCTGAGACTATGAAGAAAAGCTCAGGTTTTTCAAGAAGGAGCAAAGTCATTTTTGAGAAGACTTACTGGACAGATACGTCTCCCAGAAGCCCTTGCGATAATAAAAGCAAATGATACCACAAGCTACAGTTATTTTACTTGGTCAGCCCGGTTCTCACTACCATTGTTGTTATTATAATGCCTTGATTTTTTTTTTTTTTTTTTTTTGAGAACATATTTACCTTTCAGAGTCTATTGGTTGGGCTTTTGTTACTTTTCTCGGCAAAACTGTTCTTAAATCATGCTCGGTGCGGCCTTCACTATTTAAACAAGATACAGAATCTTGGAGAGAGGCCAGGGGAGGCCAGTGAAAGTGACTGAAGGCTGAGAAATACTGCCTCTGAGAAGAGGCTAAAGAAACTGGGGCCATTCAGCTTAGGAAAGAAAAATCCAAGAGGCAGTGGAATGACTTCCAAATATTGGGAGGGACCCGGCAGATGAGGCCACAAATGCTGTCCTGTGTTTCCTGGGAGATAGGAACTGGCCATCATGGGGGCTGAGTGAATGGACGGAGCGCTGGGCAGACTTTACCATCCATGCTGCTCAGCGTCTATTTCAACCTACGCTCGGAGGAGTCCATCGCTGAGGGATGGACTCAGACTCCCAGGGCAGGAGGACAGGATGCATATTTGTGCCCAAAGACCCCCTCCTGCATGCTTTGCAGGAGGACCAAGATCCTAGTTTCTGCTGCAGTATTCAGGGAAGATCTAACATGTGGTTCCAATGGCAGTCAGACATGTCTGTCTACAGGAGGCAAGGGAGAGGATTTCACTAACATTGTTGAAGACTGGGTGACCTTCTGGGCCATCTGTTTGTCATCACGATTTGGACGCTTGCTTTCTAATCCAGACTCTGCCACTTCCTAGCTGTGTGACCTTGCTTAAGGTCCCTTAACCTTGCTGTGCCTGTTTCTTCACATGAGGTGGGATTTTAAGAAGTACCCACGATACAGAACTGCCGTGAGGATTATTGGAATGAGGGGAGGTTAGAACAGTGCCCAGCATGGGGTAAGCTGTCTAAGGAGTTTGTTTGTTTAATCATTTAGTTAAATAAGATGAGGAAAGGTAGTGGCAGTTTCTCATAGGGTTCTCCCATTGGAATGTCTGGTAGCCTGTGGCTTCTGGGAATTTCACTGAGAAGCTGGCAGGAGCAACATACACACAAGGATTTAGTGGGATCATGCTAGTGGTATTTGGTACATATTTCCTGTATGCAGATGACACTAGGAAACATAAAAAGTGGTCCTGCTTGCAGAGCTCCTACTGGGTGCAACAGCCTGAGCCAGCAACTTTGTATATGCTGCTCAAATTCTTAGAACCAGTGTAGGACAGGCTTTGTTGAGGGCCCTTCAATTAAATCTTTTTTTTTTTTTAGTTGTGGATGGACAAAATATATTTATTTATTTATTTATTTTTATGTGGTGCTGAGGATCGAACCCAGTGCCTCACACATGCAAGGCAGCTACAGCCCCAGCCCTCAATCAAATCTTGTTCACATGTTTATAATTCCATAGAAGCATGTCTTCATGCTCCTGTGCCAGTAGACAAGCTAGGCCACTGGGATACTCTAAAAAGATGCAAAATGAGCACCATAGAAATGAATGTCCTTGATAAGGCCCCACTCTCTCATGCATTCATTCAGGCGACAGGTTGACTTAATCTTTACCTCCAAAAGACAGAACAAATATGAATGAATGAATAACTCAGAGGTGCACCTTGCCAGATGCACAGTAGTACAGAGAGAAGGGAAAATTCTTTCCCGACTCCTGCAAATGATCCTCTTTTGACCCGAAGCATAATTTTGTCTATAGCGTCTGAGTGTGTAATGACAGGCTTTATTAAGGTACTTGGGCCAATTTGATCTCGGAATCGATATAGATGCCAGCAACTCTTCTGAGCTTTCTTTTGGATCCTTAGTATTTTATATATATATATATATATATATATAAAATCTACGTTTATTCCATTTACTCCCTAAATTGAGCCGTTCCTACCTGATTAAATGTGTCGGGAGCACTTCCTCCTGGCAAATAAATAAATAGTGATTTCACAATTTGTTCTGTTGATTAGTGGCTGCTCGTGATGCAGATTAATAATATTTCAAATAGGTCTGGATAATTGGCATTTTCTCAGCTATTGATTATGTAGTTTGGGGGATTTGTTCAGGAATGGATAATCTTTATTAAAAATTTTTAGTTATTTATTTTTGTATTGAAGTAGGACTCCGGATTCTCTTTGGGTGCCCTTCTTCCATATTCTTTTACTTGGTTGTGAGGTCTTTTTTACCTTGGATGGCAGCGAGACAGACAAGATAGTGATTTGAATCACAGCAGGGTCAATTCCATGATCAGTGACTGAGTCCCTACCCTAAACAGGGCACTAGACAGAGTTCCAGTGAACACAAATTCTAATCACCAAGATTATAGGCCTCACCTTCAGGAACTCTGCCTGTCATAAGAACAGGATTAATACAGGTCAGTGCTGTCCAACAGAACTTCCTGTGCCAATAGAAATGGTCTGCATCTGAGTGGAATAATACGGTAGCCATTGGCCACAAGTGGCTATTGAGCACTTAAAGTGTGACTAGACCACCAAATTTTTAATTTTATTTAATTTTAATGAATTTGGATTTAAATAGCCACACATGTACAGCTATAGTTACTCAAAAGAAACAAACCTAACCCTGAACGGGCGCCTTGCAGGGATGATGTTGCAGGTATCATAAAGGCTGCGGTCAGTTCGGAACCTATGCAAGGCCCGGTTAGAGTGCTTCACTCCTGTCCTTCCTGGCAGGCAAGCCACAAAGGCGCTCACAGGTTCTGCTTCCCACAGCCCTGGGGCCAGGGCTAGTTGCTTATCCCAGTGGGCCGTCATTTTCTGATATGCCTTGGTGTGAGACAAAGTTGGGGAGCTCTGCTTCATATACATTACCTCGTTTGATTCCCGCCCTGACCCATGAACTCAATGTTATAAATAACCACCCTCTCACTCCTACCATTTTGTAGACAAGAAAACAGCCCTGGAGAGCTAGAGCAAGTTGCCCAAAGGTATACAAATGGGCTCGGGTTTGCATGTTGCTTTGCTGCTTACTTGATCTCAGACAGCTAAGGCTCTCACCAGTGGGTCCACAGCCTCTGATCATTTTCTCTAAGTTTCCACTCTTGTTGTAGCATAAGGAGTTGCACACTTCCAAAGTTGTGAGCTGAAAGCAGGATAGGCAGCTCCCTGTGAGTTCATAGTGAACTGGGTTGGCAGCCAGCAATAGGCCTTGTAAAGAGCCAGTGTCCTGCTCAGTCTCAAAGCAGGTTAGCGATGTGGAAAGAACTGTGTGGATTTGGAGTCAGGGAACCACCAGATAACAAGTGAGCTTGGTTGAGGGACCTCGCCTCTAGAAGCCCTGGGTGTCTCATCTGTGAAATGTGGACAGGTGAGAGTCACCAGCCTCAGCCATCTGTGGGTTCCATGATGGTAAGCAGTGGCACATATACAAGCCCCTGTTAGACAAGGGTCACATCTAGTCAAGGCATGTGCAAAGCTCTCTCATGGGCAAATGGGGGGGGGGCAGGGGCACAGGAAGGTTCTTGGAAGCCAAGCCTCCTCCCTAATGCATAGCCATTTCCACTGTCCAACTTTGTGGTTTCTCTCTTGAAACATGAAAATGACCCCTTGTTGTCTTTACCAGAGTGGATTTCAATGTGTGTGTTCTAGATTAAAGAGCCCCCAGTGTCAACCATTGAACAATGATTAATGTAATGATTAGCCTATCAATCATTAATTGCTGTAAATTAAGTGGTATACAATTAATGTGATGCTTTATCACCAATAATTAGGGGAAAAAATTGAACTCTTGGCAAAGAATCATAGCAATATGGTTATTTAAATGCTGTAACTACCATCGTCTGTAGCCACAGAGCACCATGGCTGGGTGTAGTTAAGGGAATTTGAGACGGGATGACTGGGGGTCTTGGTGCTTTAAAAAAGAGGGGGATGGGTGGAGCCCTAGCTCACCTTAAAATGACACCATGATGATGCTTCAGAAATCCCTGGTGTTTTTGTAAAACTTGCAGTAGGAATTGTAGTCTGTTTTTTTCTGGAGGAAGGGCCTGAAGGGATTTTACTTTATTATTATATTTTTTAAATCCATGATGCTCACCTAGCACAGAGCAATTAGTGCAGCGGAGCGTCCCTGATTGGAATCCATGGAAGATCCCTATTACAGGCGGTATTAATGGGCTGGCGAGGTCCGGGCAACTGTGAGGGGAAAGTGTGTTTATGGAACACGGTGCTGGCAGGCATGATTCCAATCGGGTTTGACATGTTTAACATAAATGTATAGTGTACGGCTCTTGCTGCATATGAATAATTCCTGCAGACCCGCTGCCTTTCTAATTACTGAGGTTGAAAAAAAGCAGG